TTAATAGTAAGTTTATTCAATACACGACAGTCTATGTACATTTCATGGTACCCTCATTTTTCTAAAAAAACATCAATGCTCTCCATGGAGAAACACTGAATCAAATAAACTCATTATCTAAAAATTCCTGAATTTGGACTTTTAATTATACTCCGGCGAATCGGAGCCGGTCGATGAGAGAAAGAAAAATGGCCTTATTACAAGATGTAATCAAATTTCAAAGAAAATGCAATAAACTTTCGATAAGATTTGACATAATTTATATCTTTGTTCTGATTTTTTTTGGGTTTTTTTCTCCACATTGGCAGGTTGACGAGCTAAGGAAGAAGCTAAAACATGAAGAAAATGTTCATAGAGCTCTGGAGAGGGCTTTCAATAGACCATTAGGAGTTCTACCTCGGCTTCCTCCTTATCTTCCTCATAATGTTAGTACAAATTCAAGTATAATTCAACTCTCTTCTAGATATGGCAATTCTTCTTTATAAAGACATTGCTTGATCCACAAGTTGGGACTATATACTGAACACGATTTTAGCTTTTTTTTTCTTCTTTAATACTGTTCGCTACTATCAAATTTATACAGTACTCGACAAGATTGAACTCACACCATTGTTCTTAATCAGCCCAATTCAATTTTGCATTTGATATCTGAATCTTCAAGTTTATTTATGATCCCATAGTTGATTAGAGAAGTAATATTGTTATTGCATTGTGATGTTTTAGACATTGGAGCTACTAGCTGAAGTAGCTGTATTGGAAGAAGAGGTTGTTCAGCTCGAAGAACAGGTTGTAAATTTTAGACAAGATCTATATCTGGAAGCTGTTTACATATCCTCCAAAAGGTGCGCAGAGGATTCACCGAGTTCATACGCTGAGTTGTCAGTTGGAAGTTCTAGACGAATACACTCGAGATCCTTGTCACAAAGTGAAGTCAATTTGAGCACATTAGCTGCAAGGCCTTCAGATTCTCTTGCAAGAAGTGCATCTACAAGAAAACGATTGCCTTCTGAATCTGTCTCAAAAGGCACGAGGGATACCTTTAACAGGGCATCTAATGGAAAACTAGCTTCCTGCAAACCAAATTTGTCCTCCGAATATGGATTAAGAATCGCGAATCGATCTTGTCTCAGTTCTTCCAATGATAAGAAAAGCCCTGTAAAAAATGACGCTGTAAAGAAACCTACATTAAAGCCTGAACCATTAATCAAAATTGCAAGTCCAAGAATCCTGCAGGTACTCTCTCATTTGCAATTTGATAAACAAAGAAATGCACATTTGGTTCGCACCATTGAATAGGATTGGACAGTACTAGTTTTTGTACCAAACAAGCTATGATTTCTCAGCCTATGGATAAACATTCAATTCTTAATGTGACTGTACTGTTTCAGTGTAGAATTGTGGAGCGAGCACAAGGGAGTACGTCTAGTTCGTCAGATGAGATGGTGACAAATGCAGAAAGCCCGGCAAACCAAATCTCAGAGGACGTACTAAAGTGCTTGTCCAGCATTTTTCTAAGATTGAACAAACTGAAAGGGAAAACAATGGATTCAGATTCTTTTTCTTCACTTGTATCTAGAGCATTTAGTAAAAATAATGTGGAATCAGGTTTTCGAGATCCTTATCGTATATCTTCTGAATTTAAGAAGAGGGACATCGGCCCTTACAAACATCTCTGCACAATTGAAGCTGGATCAGTTGATCTCAACCGCAAATCGAAGGCATCATTTTTGATCCGTAGATTAAAGTAAGGCCTGTGATGGTTCTATTTTTGGTTTTGAGAAGATGAAATCATATTTACTAACTTTTTCCTACAAAAAATTTCAGGCTCCTCCTTGGCAAGCTAGCGTCCGTCAAGTTAGAAAATTTAACGCATCAACAGAAGCTCGCCTTCTGGATTAACACCTACAATTCCTGCATGATGAATGTAAGAAGTCTATCGCTTGCTCAAAACGACTTTTTTTCCTTTAGGATCATTTTTCCTTGGACATCAAACATTATCCGATTGCTTAATAAAAGCTTTAAAGGAAAATGTACCTTTTCAGGCATTTTTGGAGCATGGAATTCCTGACAGCCCTGAAATGGTTGTAGCCCTAATGCAAAAGGCAAGACTTCTCCAATCACTCCATTCCATACTTTCTTAACTTTGCTAATGGTTTGCTGGTCGTCTGTCGTGTTTTTTGTTATGTACACCGTCGAAAATTGTTCCTGCCAGATCCTGTCGAAACACATATGATGGTGAATAATCATCAATGGCCAATCTGATTTTAATTTCACAGTCCTACATAAACGTTAAAACTTGACAGCAATCTGAAAATTTTCTGTAATTATTTAGCCTTCTCAAAGATACTATGGGAATTAAATACTCTGACTACCTGGCGACTCAATTAATTCTTACCACTAAACTCCAGAGTTTCCTGAAATTCAGCTATGCTTCCTGCAGGCAACTATAACTGTTGGAGGACATTTGCTAAATGCAATTATGATTGAGCACTTCATCTTGAGATTACCATTTCACTTGAAATATGTAATTTTTCTTCGCTTATTTTTCCCTGATACTCATTCTCTAAAGCTCTATATAATTTTTTTTTCCAAAGAATTTTGTATAAATTCAAGAATATATGTAAACTGCTAATTTCTTTTATAGACACGTCAAAAATCTACAAAAAACGACGAAATGGAGGTTCGTAGCACATTCGGCTTAGAGTGGTCCGAACCACTGGTCACATTTGCACTCTCCTGTGGAAGTTGGTCCTCTCCTGCTGTAAGTTCACTATGCTGCTGCTTCTTTGAGTTAACATAGGTAGATCATTTAGTAGCTTCAATTATTTCCATGGAACAATAATTTTATGAAAAAAAGGTTTTGAAATTTGATCCTGTTTTATGATCAAATTCTCCTAAGATTGTTCCATTTGATGGATAAATTTTCTTGAATTAAGGTGAGGGTGTACACTGCATCTCACATTGAAACTGACTTGGAAAAGGCGAAAAGAGACTATTTACAGGCTGCAGTTGGGATTTCATCAGCAAACAAGTTAATAATTCCAAAACTATTAGACTGGTATCGACTCGACTTTGCAAAGGACCTCGATGCATTGATTGACTGGGTTTGCCTTCAGTTACCGTATGAACTCGCGAATCAAGCAGTAAAATGTCTTGAGAGAAGAGGAAAACAGCCTCTCTTTACATTAGTACAGGTTATGCCATATAATTTCAGTTTCAGGTACCTTATATATCGATAGATTTTCTCTCCAAAACCTTGGCTTTTGAACTTTTAGAGGTGCTTTAGTTGGAGATTATATACTTACAAATAATACATTATGCAAGTATATAATATAATCTACACTTTTGTTAGTAACAGTAATAAATGAAAGTTGGGAATGCTGATTCTTGATCCTTTGCTAAGTACATCAAAATGGTCATATCATTTCACTTGCTGATATGATTATCATTAATCTTGTGCATTCACTCGATTTACTTTCTTGAGTTAGAATTTGTTGATATGATGTGATCTCGAATCGCAATGGGATTTTAGAAGAATCAGATGGGTTAGAAAAGGGAATAGGTAGACATTTGTGGTTGCAAGTTCTAAATCTTACAGTTTTGACAATGAACTGAACGGAGAGACAAGAAAAGATAACTGGAAACGAGGTTTAGTTTGTCGTTTGTTATGATCTTAAATTGCAAATGTTGAGTGATAAAGAACACTACTTGATTTTGGAGGAGATGTTTGAGAAGAGTAAGAGATTCTAAACCTAATCGAACGAAAAAAATAATTGCCTCTATCAAATTAAAGTGCGTAAATTTAATTAAAAAATTACAAAAGCACTCCATAAGCGTGCTTAACTGGTTGAGCCATGTCCCCTCACAGTGGAGCACTTTGGGTCTATCTTCAAGTTGTCTAGTCGAACCTTGAAAGCACGGATCAAATCACTGGTTGCATCACTATGGTCAAACCGATCATCTCCTACATTAAATTTTGTTTTCTCAGAACTTTAACTATATGGTACGAATTATGTACACACAAAATTGGAAATTGTTGGAACTGTATTAAATTTTATATTCAAGGTACAAAAATTATCATGTTGCAATAAAACTCAACTATTCTGTTAAGAAAAATTCTACTTCCATATAATTATTGACCTAATTATTACACGTAATGGTGTCCATTATGTGATATGACAATCATCTGATTGTTGATGTGCTAGTGTGAGATTTGAATTAAAAGTTAAATTCAGTGTCACGTTTAATTATAGATATTATTATGTAGACAATTATGTACATGTAGTACTTTCCTTTTGTTAATCCCCTTTTTGAAAACTATTCTTTAAAAACTCCTTTTTTCTCACATTCATTTTCAATCACATTTTCACAATAAAACATTCATCACGTAAATCCAAAATTTTCCTATTTTTTGACCACATTCTCTAAAAAATTACTATTCAAAAACGCATTTTACACAAAATAACTATCAAACAAGGGATTATAATTTCAACACCAAAATGTTACCATTCTCAAAATTTTGATGATTCTGGAAGCAATTTTATGCAGTGTAGCATCTGTTGAGGGGTCATAACTCTAAGGTCAATTTCAAATTAGGATATATATACAATCAAAGATCTACCATAATAAAATAAAGATTGTTTGACAAAACGTTTAATAAAAATTTTAACATATTTTAATAAAAGATGATTAATGCGATGTTGAAGGTTGACAAAAATCGTGAATCTCATAAAATGTAATTAAAATTGAAGCTTTACCAATTGAAAGGTTGTATTCAAATTGTAAAACGTTATAAAACATTTAAATAACTCTTTCACGAAATTTACCTCTATTTTATAGCAAACTGAAAATGTGGTGAAAATAAGAAAAATACAGCAAAAAGACAATGTGGTGTTCTCCTGTAAACATACAACCAGAATTAACAGAAATAAAAATGACAAACCCAAGCAAATGATATCGGCTATCCTCCACTCCTGCAAAACCCAGATAAATAAAAGAAA